AACACATCGTGTAAGTCGAAGATGGAGGAAATACAACATATTTAACGCCTCGCCGGAACAAAAAACAAGTAAATGGCTAGCGCACCGAATGCCGGTGCGGAGATGTATTTTTTGCATAGTTCCCCGCAGATTTTTGTCGCTAACCGCACTGTTTTCTCCGGCAGATGTTTTTAGCTAAAAGAACTGAGACCGCTCACCATGACTGTCAGAAAACATTCTCTTAAATTTCAGCTCTTTAGCTTTTCTAATTTCCGAGTTAGCAAATTAGCCGCCAAGAATTTCCACGGACCCATACGCGAGAAACACGTACACCTAGCGCTGAATTTCAAGTCATTAGGCTGTACGTGGAGAGGGATATCCTCTTGAAATTTCAGCTTCCTAGCTCTTCTGGTCCCTGATTTAGCAATTTACCTGAAAAAAACTTTCACGGGCCCGTACGTGGGAGTCACGCACAATAGCGGGCTCTGTTTGAACTCATTAATGCCCACTTTTTCTGCACTGCATAGTTGCAAAAAACGCATAAAAAACAAGTGTCGAAATAACCCGTGGGATAAAAATTAGATGACGCTGCTTTGAACAGAGCCGATAACAAATACGTTACAATGAAATGACGGCTGATCATTTGCCAGAAATTCATTCACAGATTACTCTCAGGAAAATGACATCCCAAGCGCAATTTCTGAGGATAACTTACCTTGCAGGGTGCTGTCATCAGCGAATGCTGGATTTTCGATCAGAAGACGTTGCGCTTGCGCCCATGTTGTTCGATAGGTGATCTCCTGCATGCCATCTAAGATATCTGCCAAAGCTTGTACATTTCTTCGGCGTAGCTCTTTTGCATTTTCTTTTTCACGTTTATCAATAAATTCCTGCAAAATGCTACTTTAATGGCCTAAAGCAATTATCTGGGTAACCAAAAAAAAAAGGAAAAAATTCTGAAAAAAAAACAAGTTAATGCTGACCAGTGCATCAGCAAAAATTTCCTTTCTCTCGCTCTCGTGAACAGCTTTCCACACCAATTCGTCACCGAACAGCGACTCTGCTTTTGAGTAACGCATTGTTGGCCGAACTTTTGGATTATTTTGCAACCAGTGCTCCAAATCTTCCTTTGCTTTCTTGATCGCCAGTCGCTTCTCATCCTAAAATTCATTGGCCCAACAAACACACGAAAAGATATTAAACTGAATATAAAATTAAGTTTGGCAGCTTTCTCCACTACCATATTACTTTGAATGATCGTATCACTTTTTCATTGCCCCTTTTCCTCACTCACTCTTTTGCTCATTCACTTATAACTCTCTTTCTTTCTCTTCTCCATCTTGCAAATTAGTTACATGACTATTCAAAACATGGCGGGTGGGAGGCTGTACTGACGATTCCCGCTTCTGTCCGCATGCATAGTTCGATCTGTGTATACAGCTAAGGGATGAAACACAGACTTACGAGAAAGTGAAATGTCCTTCGGCACATGACACTTAAGACCAATCTTTCTGTTCTACTATTTCACGCTTTCTTCCTCCCTTTTTCTCTTACTCACTTAAAAATTATTTGTATAAATG